GGGCAGGGGGGGGTTCTTTTGATAAAAAGACTAAAGTGAGACAGAAACGCCTGCAAGGAGAGCCTGGATAGCAAGAAGCTTCTACCTTCCTAAGAAAGCCTTGAGGAAGGTGGGCATCTGGAGTCTAGTGAGGTGAGGCCTGGAGGGGGGGAGATGCTGCGGGGTGTCCCTCCAGGGCTGAGATCCTTAGACCCAAAGGTGCCGGCAAGGAGTCCTGGGGCGCCCATCTGCGGTGGCCCCGCCGCATCACAGAGGGAGGGAGCTCACCCAGGCAGCCCGATGCCCAGCACTGCCTCCTGGCCATCCCGAGAACCACCCAGTCCGTGCTCTGGACAAGAGCCCAGGCTGGCTGACCATTTTACTCCCGTATCCCTTCCCAGCCAGAGGACTGTCCTCCTGGTCTCAGAAGGACTGCCACCTGGGCTCCTGTCGCAGGGACAGCAGTGTCCTCAAACCTGGCTGAGGCCCAGGTGTGGTGCTGATTTCCCTGGGGAGGCCTCACTGGGCTGTGTCCTGGGGATGAATGAGGTTGCCAGAAGCTCCTGGAGTGGTGTGAGGGACTAGCGAGGCATTTTAAAGGGACGCCAATGAGCCCCATGGAAAGAGGTGCCCGGTAGCTGTCTATGTATATGGTCATAGGTTTGGGGAAGGTACCATAGAAGGAAACTGGAGAAGGGAAAAATGGGTCAGGTAGCTTTGCCTAGAGCCCAGGAAGCCTAGCGCCCTTTTGGGCTGGACCCTGCCTTGGTCCCCACACTCCAACTTACCCACCTCTCCAGGGCCTGCAAAGCTGAGAAAGGTTCCGGGCCCGCAAGGCCTGGGGCTTCCTCGGACCAGGGACCTGACTCGGTGTTTGTTCAGATGGAACCACTCCACTGGCCTGTTGTCTGTCTCTCTCTTGTACTTCTTGTAACGATAGTTATTGACTCTGGTAGCAGGCAGTTCTGAAATAAAGACGGTTTCTCCACCTGTGGAGGCAGCCCGCCAGCTGTGGGTGTTTTATCATCAGCCCCAACACACCTCCTCCCCCTGTTCCCTAACCCTGGGCTCCTGTCCATACCTCCCCTTGCCCACAGACAACTCAAGGCAGTCACAACGTACAGCCTGTGCTGCTCCATGCAGTCCCGCGGGGGGGGCGGGGGGGGGGACCGGGGGGGGGGGGGGGGGGGGGGGGGGGGGGGGGGGGGGGGGATCAGCCAGGTTTAGGGAAGCCCAAGCAGCACACGGCGGGTATTCTGCCAGACAACACGATGGCAGTCAACAGTGCCTGTGTGATGGTACTCTTTCAAGGTGCCCCGGGTTTTTAAGACATTGGAGGTATTGACTCAACTCTACCCAAGGGCAGTCTTCTCCCTGCAGAGACACAGCAACCCCCACCTGGAGAAAAGGTGCCTCCAGTGTCCGCTCACAGCAGCCAGGAGAATTGGAGTTCCTGGTCAGAGCTCCCAGCTGCAACCTCTCTCAAGCATCAGCCCACACCGGCCACACTTGCGTTACGTCTGAGAGCGCGCAGGGAGCCACTTGTGCAGCCCTGTGTTCCATTCGTTCCGTGCACAGCAGGCAGGGCTCCTCCCTTTTTCAGAGAACAGGGAGGCGAAGGCAGGCAGAGGCCCCTCTACTCGCTACTCGGCCTGTGCCTGGAGCTGTGCAATAGCAGCAGCAGCGCCAGCTGACAGTGGCCCGAGGGGCCAGCATGGATGGCAATGATACCTCAACAGGCTCATCCCTTTCACTTTGCACCCCAAGGGGCTGCTGGGACCATTGGCCACTCTAGACCCCAAATTTTAGTCCAGCCAGCATCTCCTTGACCCTCAAGGCTGATTGATTACATGCACAGAATTCAATGAACTGAATTGGGTTTGCATCCTCACTAACACATCCGAGGGCCTTTTGTTTTCTTCCCTGTTCAATCCCTTCCCACTCTCAAGAGTCAAAATTCAAGAGTGCCATGCGCAGAGGCTACAAACCTAGATCGGTACAACATTCCTTCCATGCTTGGCCACTGACTTGCTGCAGAAGTGACAGAAGTGACTCGGCTCCTCTTGGGTCTCAGTGTCTCCATCTGTAAAATGTGGAACCGGACCCCCATCCTCCTCCCTCCTCAGCAATATCATCTTGAGTTACCTACAAAGGTGTTGTTTCTATGGCCTTTGAAAGTACAGTAAGCTCTCTCCTGACGGCTCCGGCCAACTGTCCAGCAGTGAACTAACAGACATCAGTAATAACTCTGCCCCACTCATGCCCAGTCCTTCAGTCTACCAAGCAGTTTTACTCACAGGATCTCATTGATTCTTACAATCACGTGTTTCAAAGATGAGGACCTCAGAGAGTCAGAGCTTGCTCCTTTGCACAGTGAAAAGTAGAAACAGAAGCAGAACCCAGGTCTTCTGAAAGCCATCCCCTCTGAGGTAGAGAGAGGGGGGGGAGGGGGGAGCGTGTATGTGTGTGTAAAATGTAAGATCTCAAAATAAGAGCAGTAGTAAAGACTCCCTGTGCACGGCCTAGGCCAGTGGTCCTCAATCTTCACTATGAAGCGGAATGCCTAGGCCCGTGGTCGGCAAACTGCGGCTCGCAAGCCACATGCGGCTCTTTGGCCCCTTCAGTGTGGCTCTTCCACAAAATACCACGTGCGATTGAAACTTTGTGGCCCATGCGCATAAGTCGGTATTTTGTGGAAGAGCCACACTGAAGGGGCCAAAGAGCCGCATGTGGCTCTCGAGCCGCGGTTTGCCGAGCCGCAGTTTGCCGACCACTGTCCTAGGCCACTCCCACAAAACAAACATGCGTTGACTTGTGACTTCTATGTCTCTAGGACACCGAAAGGACCTAAAAGCGGGGACTCCCCAGTGCAGTAAGCACATGGGTCCCAGCCCCTGGTTGCTATCCCCACACTAACAGGAGGCAGAGCTCCCTGGAGAAACAACAGATTCCGGTTTGGAGAAAGTCCAAATGTGGACCTGAGACTCTTGTACGAGGAAGCAAGGACATACTCGAAGTCAAATGAGATCACATCTAAAGGACAGAAGAGCTGGCTTGAAGGGACTCCTCCTAGCCAAAATGGGGACAATTTGAATATCAAAAACATGACAACAGTAATGGATTATATACAATTCACTGACTAAAAACGAGGATCCATTGAGACCTCAAAAATAGAGAGTAAAAAGAGCAGCTCTTCTTTACAGAAAACTGCAGGCTAATAAACATAGAAATGATGAATGTAAAGAATCAACAGTTTGCAACCCCCACATGCCATAATAAGGTAAGGATCATGAATGGATTCCAAAATGTTTGTGGACATTTTTTTAGAAAACCAGATAATCACAAAGTATCATCCCACAGATTAATTACAAAAGGGAAAAATATACTGCGGTGGGCAAAAGTAGGTTTACGGTTGTAATACAAATAAATACAATAATAAACTTTCGAGTACTAACTGTAAACCTACTTCCCCCCCCCCCCCCATATACCTTTGGAGAGGCCTAGCAACAGCAGTTCAAACTGGCATCATGCACCTACTGAGGTGATGCAGTAAGTACATGTCATCGTTTACATAGGCTCTTGTCAAAATGTTTAAGATTCATTCCTCAGAAGCTTATCATCAGGAAACAATGACAAATCCAGATTTGGGGACACTATTCAAGACAACTGACCTAGCCAGACTCTTCAACCAAATCAATGTCATGAAAAACAACAAAAATAGCAGCCGATCTGTTGTAAAATAAGGTGTAAGAGAAACAACCAAATGTAATATGTTAACTTTCACTTGCTCCTGGATCAAAAATTAAATTAAAAAGCTCTAAGATTTTAGGAAAATTAAAAAAAAACAACACCAATTCTATGTGAGATTAGGGAACAGTTCATTTTCTTAGATGTGATGAAGATATTGCGGTCACACAGGGGAATGCCCTTCTTAGGAGGTGCATACGTAATTTAGGACTAAAGGCCACAGTGTCTGTGACTAGCTTTCAAGTGGTTCAGGAAAATCAGTATTTAGGAAGATCATTGCAGCAAAATGTTCAAAGTTGATGAATTTAGGTAAAGAGTCTATGGGTGTCACCACACCTTTCAACTTCTCTATGGGTTTGATGTTTTGTTTTGGGTTTTTTTGAAGAGAACCACTGGTCCAAGTCTTGGTTTCTACTACCTCCTCTGTAGCCAGAGAGAAGTGAGGTGAAGAAATGCTATAATTTTCTCAGAATTAGCTTGGCTGCAGCCAAGAGCCTTTTCCCTGCTGGTTCTACAAGTCAATTATCTCAGACAGTCTGAATGGCCTCTGAGGGTCTTAGATTGGATTTCCCACGGAGGAAGGTACTAATCCTCCCTTAAGGGGCCTTGGCTGCTGTAATACACTTGACCTTTCCAGGAACACATGCTCCAGGGCACAGAGAGAGCTAGGAGAGAAGCAGGGAGCAAGCCAGGGAACTTTTCAGGGGAAACCTATCAGATGAAGACTCTGTTTTGCCAGGAATCAATGTTACACTGAATACAGAGGGTTCACCTGGGAGGATGGAGAGGGGCTAGTAAATTATTAACATTTAGTGAGGGTCTATGATATACTGAGTCAGATGTCATTGCTAACCTTGGCTCTGGTACACAGGGGCCTATGCCGCACTACAAAGCAATTTGTTCAATATCTAGTCTAAGAAATTTGAGGAAAACGAAAGCCCAACTGATTATGGGACAATTGAAACAAACGCAAGTGATTTTTAAATAAAGAGTAGGAAAGATGTATCTCCATTCAGCTACTGTCCATTATTTTTATTGAGGAAAAAAGTGTTTCCACTAGAAAAGCTATTACTAATATACCCTTCTATGTGATTATGCTGCTCAGAAGGGAGGAGGTGGTGGGGAGGCATTCAAGATGTGAAGGGTAGAAAATAAATGCAAGTTTGGAAGACAGAACTGTTCCCAGCAGAAGGGGGATGCGTGCAGTAAGGTTATCTGGGTACCTAGTGGGCAGGGAAGTTCAAGAAGAGGTCCATCTGGGACACAGTTGAGATACTGCCCATTGCTACCAGGATGCTGTCCCTTCTCCACATCCCCACTCACTCTTTTGGCTCTGGAAGCCCTCCCTCTGGCTGGTCCAAAATCAGGCAGCCAGAACGCTCCCCTGAAAATCTAGCTTGGCTTCCTGAGCAGTCAAGTCCCACTTCCTGGGCAGCCAGCCCTTCAGGAGCAAGGCCTATTAGGTCTAAAGGTTGGCATTGCTATGGCCCACCCTCTGCCCACTGCACAAGGCAATGCCCAACGACACACTGGCAATCACTCCACTAGCAATTCCTATTCCCAAGGCTATAGCCACCTTCTTTCTCCATGGTGGACGGGGAGGCCTGGAATAGTTACCCAGATCCACTTCCAGGCCCTCATCTACTAACTTCTGATCCTCGGTGAGTGACTGCTGAAAATTCAGCTTCACCAACTGAGGAGGAAGGACCCTCACCCCAAAATAGAGCCTCTTGATAAGTTTCAAGTTTTTTAACAGCTGCACATCACACCGGTAGGTCCCAGAGTCCTCCTCGTGAATAGATCTAAACTTCACAAAGTGGGAACTGGCTCGGAAGGGCTTGAAGACTTCATCATCAGTGGAGATGATACCCCGAGCAAGTCTCCAGGTGAACTGGAACGCTTCCTGCCCGATCTCCAGGATGTCTGAACTCAGACAGCTCAGCTCAAATTTCTTGCCTGCGAGAACGGTGAAATGGAGCATCCCACAGACCCAGTTGGTCAGACATTCCAAGCGCTGAGATTTACACTTCCTTCTCACTCCATCAGGGCCCACCTCACAGACGGTCTCCTCCTTATAGCCAAGGCCACAGGTGACTGTACAGGTGGTGGCGTTGACAATGACTTTCCCCACAGCTTCTTGCAGCTTCTCAGGGATGGCCAGTGTTTTAGGCAAAGTCATGACAAAAGGCGGACAGAAGGCCAACACCAGGCTTCCAAGGATAAAACTCGTGGCCAACATCATCATGTCTCAGTAGACATGTCACCGCCCTCGGACAGCACCTCCAGGTGTTCCAGTTGAATCCTCTATGATATCATTAACTCAATTCCTTCGACATGAGATATCCTTCAAAGTTGGAAGATAGGATGCATGCATTGTCAATAAAACATTGCCACTTCATAAGCCAAAGTCCAGTCCTTATTAACAGGTGAGGCCACAGGCAGGAGTCACAATGTTGCTGCTGTACCACCTCTGCTTGTTAGTGACACCCTTACCAATCCCTTCTTTCCATTCTTTCAATGACTTTAAATCCACCTCTTGGGAAGACAAAGATCTCAGAGGCTGAAGTGAATTTCCAAACCACCTCAACTACATGACTTCAAAGAGTGAGTTTCCCTCACTCTTTCCCCTCCCCGCCAAATTGTGGATCTAATTTAAAGGGTTTCAAAACCCCAGTTAAATCTGACCAAATAAGAAATCAAGTCTTAAAAGAGAGGACTAACTTGAATTAAGTTACCAACTCTCAGTGCTCCTAAACCTTCTATAAAAAGGATTAAGAACTCTGGACTAGAAGGGAAGTGACTTATCCTTCCTGAACCGCTGTCTGATTTCTGCTTTGTAAGTTAAAACCTTCATGTCTATTTCAGGAAGGTCATTTTGAGCATCACATGAAAAAGTGTACACGAAAATACTTAGTAAAGTGAGAGACACTGTTCCTGTGTAAGGAATTTTACATAGAAATGGACATTCATGAAGACAAGGGCCAAGAGCTCTTTTAAAATCAACTGTTCCCAGCAAGGTACCGAGATTAAAGGCAGCTCCTCTCCACCTCCCAGGCACTTTTCCTTCCCAAGGGCACCGAAGGTATTTTCTGGAGGAGAGGACGCATGACTCTAGGCCTGTGCCCTTCATTCTGGAGGCTAGAGCAGCTCATCTTTCACTTGGGCCGGCGTTGCTATGAAACAGCTATGATGTCAAAGGCGGATTCTGTCACATAATAGAAAAGATTAGTAGGCAAGCACTCAGATGTGATGATTACAATCAAACACTTAACTAGCCTTTATGAAACATCTTGTTTAAGAGATGACTCGTATTCAGTGGGTTCTGAAGCTATTTAATGTAGGGGGAAGGGGCCAGTAAAGGGGACCCGAACTGTGCTCATGCGTGCTGCGCTCCTTGGAAGGAAGCTCCTCGCATGCGTTTCTATAACCTACAGAACACCTCCTAGCACTGGTGGTGTTCTGGTTATGGGACAATTGAAACAAACGCTGGCCTCTACTGAGTCGGTACACACACTTATACTGAATTTAAAAATATGAAGAGATCATTCCTAGATGATCTTTTTCACACCTTTTGTTTGAATGGTTTATTTATAATCTTGTCCAGAGGCAGAAACCTGGTTACCTGAGCATCCCTCCCCCTCCCAGCTCTGTATTTTCACAAAGAAAGATCCTTTTCCGTCATAAAGCAAAGGGGCAGGTGAGTTTCAGAAGTGGTGAGTGCCTACAACATGCATCTACACCTGTTCTTTAATAAACATCCAATTTTATTTACAAAGCATTAAAGCTTCAGCAAGAAGTACCCAAGGCTAAGTCTCGTCTTGTACAAAACTACAGAACATTAGAAAACAAAAGGAGGGGGATGAAAAAGGGAAGAAGGTAATACGCTTATATTGTACAAATTGAGAAAATCACACTGAAATGGACAGATTTCAGGAGCTGAAAAAAATTCCAAAAGCATAAATAATTATGAGGAGCTGCTGCCAGAACCCTTTGTATCACAGTTGGCACACTATTGCAGTGCATAGCACACAGATTTGGAATGGAATGTCTGCAAATGAAAATATGTCAGTGAGCCACCTACTAATCTCAACCACTGGTCTGAGATGAAATATGAAATGAAATTCACAAAACAAGCATTTGAGGAAAAAGTAGTGGCATCTAAAAATATAGACATATTGCAACTGACTCAAGGACAGCTCATCAACCACTGAGTATTTTGGTTCAAAAAGATGGAAGAGGACAGAGGCTCTTACTGATGTGCTCTACTTTGATTTCTATCCCCAAATCCAAAAGGTAACCAACCTGTTTGGCTCCTAGAGGAGCGCCCACCAGCTGATAGAGATTTCACAACAAGCAATGTGCAAACTCCCCTTTGAAAACACTGTGAAAATGATGATGCATGTTAAGCACTCTGGTCAGCTAAAGCTCTCCCGCCCGGCCCTGCTCCCCGCGGCCCTCGGAGCCCAGAACCCACCCAGGAACCGGCTCAGAGCCTCCGGGACGCGCCCCAGGCCCGGCCGGGACTCAGGTTCGCTCGCTGTGTGACTAAATGGCTTCTCTCTGTCTGGCTGCCCCCCCCCCCCCCCCCCCCCCCCCCCATACACACACCTGGTTTCTTTACTCTGGATTTTCAGAGAATTTCAAACACCTAATGTACACATCCATCCAATATGCTACCTTTTATATAAAAGAACAGCAAAAGCAAGATGTAAAAAAATTTTTAAAAGCTAAGCAACCTTTCATAGAAAGGAAGTGACTGGAACATGTCATAAGGAAAAGGAGCTTGGATACAAGGAGGGGAAGATGCGATGACTGACAGAAGGACAGATATTCACAAGCAATGATAAGAAAGTTTTGTTCCTTCATCTGTGATTTGAACTGTGGCTGCTGCTTTGATTTTGGGTGGTTTTACTGTAGTTCTTGCATAGATTCCCCAACCCCAATAAAAAAAAAAAAGCCTGTTGAGAGACACCTTGGTTTGTTTCCATCTCTGGAAGCCAGCACAAGTGAAGCAATATAAACTACTGATGATTCTTTGCTGGAGACAAATGAAACTAGCTACCTTAAAAAAAACAAACAAACAAAAAAACTACACACACACACAAAACATGATTAATGCGAATGAACCAAACTGGAGGGAAACATGCAGTGAAAGGAAAACAAAAACCCCTCTTGCAGCCCAGCTTGAGCAAAATGGGGTCCATTGGGAAGAGGGGCCTTTCTCATCGTTCTCCCTTTTCTACAAATGTCAAACGTTTCCAGCGCTCTCTTCTTTGCCCATCCTTTGTACACAATATGGAAATACAGGAGGAATCTGGCAAAAGGGTAAGTTTCAAAATGGAAGAATATGCAACAGAAGTTTTCCAAGGATACTGGTAGCAGAATTTCAGATAAGAACAAGTTACTCAAGGACGTGCACTGAGGATAGAAGGCAGGTAGGAGACAGGTCAAAATGATGCGGGGTACAGTGAGATTAGATGAGCAAAACAAGTATCTTTTCTCCAGCAACATAACTCATATTAAAGAGTAAATGAGTCAAACTCCCATGTGATGTCTTCACAAATCCGCATTCCTGAGAGCCTATTTGGACTTATGCTTGAAAGGGAAGGGACGTATACTCTTCGTTCATAATTCACTTCTTCATTCAAACATAAAATTCACTCCTTCCACCTCCTGGGCGAAGCAGAGGCATTTGCTTTAAATTAAAGTCACTTTCAAATGACTGAACAGTGTCCAGAGGCCACATGATGGAAAAGTGGGGAAGACTGAAGCACTTCAAGGATCTTCATAACAGTTCAGAGATTGCTCCCCCTGCTAGAGATCAGACACAAAAAGATTTCTTTTAGTATCAACTTAGACCAGTTACTCACAAAACACTGATGGATGCTGAATGATGCAGGACAAGCACACATGGGCTAAGAATCCCCCCACTTTAAGCTAAAACCAACTCCATCTCCCACTTACTCTTCTTCACTGAGGCAATAATCCAAAACCCAACCTCCACCCCATACTTGCTTGGTACTGCCCCAAAGGGCAAGTAAGGCAAAATGATCAGAGTTCTACACACTTTCTAAGCTGTTGTTAACCATTCTCCAAGGTGTTAACAAATATTGCTTTATAACCCAAAAAGTGCAGTCAGTAAAGGAAATTCTAGGGCCCAGCATCTTCAAATCTTTCATATATGAGACTAATTAGACATTAAGTGATTAACAGTGAGCAACAAACCCTTTCCCAAGCACCCCTATTCCTTAAGTGACATTCTCATCATCACCTTAGAATTCCAAGTAGGATGAAATGTTAATGAAAACTACCGTTGGCATTTCTATGTGCCAACAACTGATCAATAAATAAAATCCTCAATAGTAAAATCAAATGAACACTTTCCTGATTGTTCCATAGAAGCTGTTCAAGCTCTGAGGGACATCCTTACATGGGCTGCTGTGAAATATTAACTAGGAAGTGTAAAAAGAGAACAAGGTGAAGAAAATCCTCCCAGGTGTCATTGGGGATGGGGGAGAACATGCCACTTGAAGGTAAAATGGTTAAAAAATAATGGCCCAAGTTATGGAAGTACCCATTTATACCCTTCGCTTTAAACCTGATTTTTAAAGTAAAAATTAAAGCACAAATGAAAACTGGCAATAAAAATATATTCCCATTTGCCTGAGAACAGACTGAAATTATAAACTCTTCCTGGATGCTATATTGTCAAAAATCAAATTTAAACCTTATATAGTTCAGTAAAATAGAAGTGTAGTAAGTACCTATTATGCAGATCTCTCTCAACAAAAACATAATAATTAATCTCTTGAGTCCATTTTTTAAAAGTCTCGAGATAGAAGAATCTATGCCACTTAACACTTTAAGGTTAGTTTTGCTGACTGTCCCCTCAGGTACATACCCTAATCAATCTAGTTTTAACAGTTTAAAATGAACACAACATTGACATTTTAAGCCTAAATCATGACAGGAAAACCAAAATAAACCAAAACCAGAGCAATCATACTATGAGCAAGACAAGGTACACAGAAACAGCAGCACAAGGGAAGACCTCCAGGCAATTTAGTCTGCTCAAGGACACGCATTATTTAGTTGCAACAGAAAGGCAATCTACAATAACATAAAACAGCTGAAGATGAGCAGCTACTACTAGTACCTTCCAATAGCAGCCCAAGCCAGAGTGGCCTAAGAAAATACTGGAAATGGATTTCGTAAAATAAATGTGTTTTATTGATTTTACAGCAAGATGAAGGGAGAGGGAGAAAGGGAGGGAGGGAGAGAGAGAAAGAGAGAAACATAGATGCTCAATCAACTGAGCCACAACTGCCAGGGCTCGATACTGACTTTCAAACATTACCTTAGTCAGCTAATAAAAATCACAAAGAATGAGAAAGAATATCTAAATAGTCATCTGATTTTAGCAGAAATTCATAAATTATTTGACTGATAATTTTTTAAAAAGCAAAGAAGGGAATTAAAACCGTCACTCGCTACCAAGCATTCAAAACAATCTCAGATTCGGGAGATGGTTAGGAGGCCCAGGGTGGTGGGCCAGCATTAGGCGGGGTAGTGGGAGGCCAAACTCAGGGACATTTCCCCGTGCCTGGCCACCCCCAGAAGCAGCGCCTCTGTTCATCTCGGTCACTGCACTCCCATTAGACCCAAGTGCACACCAACCCCGTCATGCCCACCATCTCATGAGCCTTTAGACCACATATGCTGACAGACCACAGCTTTGTCACACTTGCCACTGATGTTTACTGCCAAGGAGCCCCAGTTCTTGGGCAACCCTTGAGCGGTCACAGGGCAACGGGGACACTGGTGGTTCTGCTTGCATCTCACGTTTTGATCTGAGGACTGTCCTCTGGAGAGTAGCTAATAAGGAAATTGTGGGGAACCAGGTAAGTGCCATGTTGGTCTGGTCTTTCCAAAAAGTCCCAAGGTCAGGGTCACCCTCACCACACTTCACTGATGGGTCCTCCCTCATCACAGAAAGTGTGTCTTCATGGATGTTATCCAATACTGAGGAGCTGTCTGATAGGGAAGAATTTTCTGTGGCTCTAGATTCCAGAGAGCAGATTATTTCTATATGACTTATGTGTCTTCCAACCACCCTGTGAAATGCATAACGTGCTGTTGCAATAGCAACACACTATAGTAGCTTCGTCAGGGCTAATCAGGGCTTACCAAACGGTTTCTTCAATAACTCCTAAATTGTAGATATTAACAGTTGTCATTTATGTAACTTGAGCAGTAACACAACCTACACCTATAATCCTGCCTTCAAATAATTTAGTTCGAATGCAAAGCTAGGGCATTTTGAGGGAGGCGACCTTGAGTTGACCCTCAGACTGAATTGATTTGGGGGGATCCTTGCACAGGGGCCATGCTCATCTCTGGAGCATCCCAATTTTAGTGTATGTGCTGCTGAAGCAAACACCTGAACTGATTTCTGAAGACAGTTCAGCCTCAGGCATTCTGGGTCAGATTTCATTTCTGAATACCTCAGGGAAATCTATCTACAGTGATTGTATGCTGCGTTTTACTGAGAATCTCCAAAGTGTGGAAGAACATGAAATTCAAATACCAGAGTTTTTATCTCTACGGCCTTGGGGGACTATCTGAAAATTAATAGCGTGTGCCAGCCAGCCTGTGCTTGCTCAGGGCCCTCCAAGCCGACCATCGTATTGGACGAAGCCCCACTCTTGCCCGAAAAATCCTACACAAAGATATGATGGGTTGTCTTGCAACGGAGGCTTCTACTGGAGTTATCTGTAACCCCCAGTTGCACCACTCTCCCCAGATTTGCAGCCATCACAACGATCCTAACCAAACTGCAGCTGGTCAACAAAGCTGGATGCAGCTCTCCGAAAAAGTCTTGGAACCACACCACAATGCCCCTTTGAGGTTTCTTAATGACCCTGCCCCTCAGCAAACTCGAGTTTAATCTGACCATTTCAGTTTTGAGGCTTCCATTCAGCAAAAGGTCAGGGCACCAAGGCCAGAGAAGAAAGGAGAAAACAGCAGAAGGAAGCCTACACATGGGGAAGTACGCATGCACACAATCATGAGAAGTTGGTGAAATGTTTGCAATAACTATGCAGTTGTTTTGACTGTGTGTTGTCAGAAAATGTGTCATCACCCTGGCTCTACTATATAAAAGTCTCCTCTAGTTCTTGTAAAGGGTAAAGCTGTTAAAATAGTTGTGTCTACTTATGGTTGACCAACTCAAGTACCTAATAATGTAGAAATAAAAATCCAGCTTGAAGCGTCCAGCTATTCCAAGATAAAGGTTCTAGTCTTTAATGAGGTTGGTGCCTCATTTAACCTAGTTGGCAAAGTGAGTGGAAACAAACGTCCAATAGGCCCCTGATAATGGTTTCTATTCTTTCTAGAAGGAGCTTTGAAATGCTGATTTGTACCAG